GCCACACCCCTTTTCTTGCCTTCCCTATGTGTAACTTCATTTATCCACCTTAATTCAAGGTTATAATTTAACAGTTTAATTAGATTGATGAATGAATGTAGAGAAAATCAGAAAAATTAATTGCATGTTGTTTAGCTGACACAATCTATTTGCTCCCCAGATCCACCCCCTCCCAAAGCAGAACCCCCTTTTAGGCTGGAGTCAGCATGGTTTTGTGATTTTCTATAGCTCCATCCAGCAGCACATGAATAGGCATGAAGGAGGTCCATGATGGGAGTAAACTATGAGGTTTGACAAGGCAGGATCCATGATGGAGCAGAGGACAAGGGACTCAAGTGTAGAGGATGGTATAGAGTTGAACTGATTTCCCAAAGGGTCTAGATAGAGAAAGGAGTAGAGTATATGCCTAGTGATGACTTGGGAAAGAATTTGTCTGGAGGGACTGAAGGTCATGTTTACCATGAAAAACAGGATTAGGGATAGAGAATGATGATAAGGATGATAAAAGATTATAATCAGATAAAATAATTTGGGTATTTGCGAATATTGAAGTGAAACACTTGTAGGTGATGACAAGATGGAAGATATTAACATCTTTGTAGCTGAGGTAAACTAGAAGAATGTTTTTGTTCAGTCATGTTTGACTCTCTATAGCAGTATTTGGGGTTTTCTTGGGAAAGATATTGGAGTGGTTTGCCATTTCCTTCTCCAGCTCATTTTACAGATGAGGAATTGAGGCAAACAGGGTTAAGTGACTTGCCTAGGATCACACAGCTAGTAAGTGTCTGAGGCCGGCTTTGAATTCAGATCCTCCTGACTCTGGGGCTGGTGTTTCATCCATTGTGCCACCTAGCTGCTCCAAAGTAAAAGAATATGCCATTGGAAATGAACAGATTGAGGAATTAGGAAGTTATGGTATTAGAAGGCTAGCATCACTGTATATGTTAAAGGCAGAAATTGGGGTCGAGTCAAGATTGTGCACTGAACTCATTGAGGAAGGAAGGAGAATGTTGTCAAGATCTTGATTGTTTACCAGATCTTGATTTTGTTTGCTGCAATCTTGACTGGGTGATAAGTTTGAATAGAATATGCCTTACAGGAGGAGAAATTACAGAATGGTTTCATTCTTTGTAATTGTACCCCAAGTGCCTTCCATAGTGCTTAAAACCTTCTTGACTGGTGGATGGTGGTTGGGAAGAATTTGGAAGTGGCAACAGGAGGCAAGTATTCTGAATCCTCCACCAGAACCAGTGAATTACAGCCTGAGCAAAAATGCACCCCTGGCTAGAAAGTGTGGCCAGAATGCAGTATGATCAGAAGAGAGCCAGGGCTCAGTGAAAGCCAAAAGATGGAGAGACTGAGGAAACAAAAAAGTTTTAAGATGAAAGCAAGTTTGTTAATCATGGAGGAAGCATTCTAGAGAGTAGTGGAAGGGCAGTTAGATCTGGAGACATGAGGAAGGAGTAGGATTGAAAGTGATTGGAATAACAGAGTGGGGAGTAGGGGATGGGCAGTTTTGGATTTATACAATGACAGTCAGGGGTTTAGAATCACAGAAATGAGGAAAGTCTGAGAGGGAGGGAGTATATTAACTATTGAGGTATTATCAGTGGAGAACAAAGGTCTCTGTTGCGGAACACAAGTGATAAGACTATTCAAGGACCTCTCTTGGGATCCTGCACATTCAAAACCAGAACTGAGTTAGTAGAAGTGGGTAAGTAGGGGGAGGGGGAAGACAGTAGTAGTTTTGAACAGGAAGAAAAATATTCTGTGCTTATATTTGACAGAGTGGTTTTTAACTTGGCAGGTTAAAGGGGAAAACGTCAGAGGCCAGTAGTGTCCATGTGGTAAAATTAGTCCTAGATGCCAACTTAGGACAGTGTGTGAAGGAACCAAGCTTTACTGGAGGGTACAATTAGCCTTAAAAACCAACTAGTGAGGATGCCAGATTGAATTGAAGTGTAGAATAAGAACTGGCCATGATGCCCCTTTCATTTGTGCCAGCCCAGCCAATCTGTGGCTACACTGTATTTATCTTTGGATAAGATCTCCTGGTTTTTAACTCATCTAGGCTATTGTTTTCACAACATGGTAGCTTTCTATAACCTGTGTAGAAATGACCCTGCAGAAAGAAGGGTTATAATTGTTCTGTTCCAAAGGAAAAGTGACATTTCTTAATGTAATTTAACAATGCAAAACATACTTATTTAGCTGGTCAGTTTTTCCAAGAAAGATATTTATCTTTCTATTTATAACATGCATTCACAAGATTGTAAAGTTTAGAGTGGGGAGGGTACCTTAAAGATGATCTAGTCCAAGACTCCTGATTTTATAAATAAGTAAACTGAGGCCCAAAAAGCCTCCCCCCATTTAAAAGATTTAAAATGAAATGTGGGGAAGTAATAAGGAGTTGCCACATAAATAGTTAACTCAGTAACTGCTATACTACTTGATTTGCATATTTTCTTCTTTCCCAGATACAAATTTTAAGCAAATAGCATGTCATCTGGCTAAGTTGTTACACGTTGAATATGTATATATTAACACATAGACATAGCTTATGTGTGTGTTTTGATCATGGGAAAAGTTAAAAAGAAAATTATTAAATAGTGAGTTTCATGACTGAGTTAAGACCATTGTTAGTCTAAAAGCAAAGAAAAGTAACCTTGGTGCTCTGATTTCATGTCATGTTACTCAAGTAAAAAGGCATTTGGCATGTTACATTTTGTGGTAAGGGAGGAGGGGAGTGAAAGGAAAAATTGGGTAATATTAAAAGCAAAGAAAATCCAGGCTACTGCAGAGGCTAATTGGTTAAAAAAAAAAGTAAGAAACTTAAAAGCAGAAGGGAAATGAAAAATATTTTCATAAGGCTGGAATTCTATGTAGTATATTTAGAAGTCAGATTTTTAAAATCCTTAAATATTAAAGCAGTCTGCTTAGATTTGGTTCAATGGAGAGATCTTATCCCATTTGACTTCTACTAGATGAAAATTAATCTTACTGTTCTTATTAAATTATAATTAACCAATGATCTAAGAAGCAAAAAAAGGCAGTTAACCTAACAGTTTCACTTGGATAAATGAGAGGGGTATTAAAGCAAAGTTTGGATCTGTCCTTCATTTTTGTATACTGATTACTTGACCTGAGGGCAGGTCACAGTTTACTGATCTATGATCCTTGTTGGCAAGCACAGGCTAGAAGAGAATTTTATTAATAGGAATTGTAGGAAGAATTAGATGTATCAACAGCAGTTCAGTGTGGCCAACCCCATGACTTTGTTTCTACTAGAGCTCAGTGGATTTGCTAATGGATATTTTATATGACTGATGTGTTTTTTTATATAAACTGCAACTTAAATTTCCATGCGTGTATATACACATATGTATATATTTATTTATATACATATATTAGTAAATATTGTGCTCCTCCTAAAGAAACTAACTGCTCTAAACCTTTAGCTAGTGTTTTCCCCAACCCCTTCTTCCCGCTCTTTCCTATTTACCATTCTTGCCAAGAGACCAGGTTTCAATGTGCCCATGCATTCTGTTGATAGATTAGCTCTTTCAGACAATGCTGTACCTCCATGAGGTCACCTTGCCCCTGAGTTTGTTCCTCAGCTTTACAGATTCAGAAAATATATTCTATCAGTTCATCAGGGGGTGATCAAACTTCAGACAATTCAGTCACGTCAAGTGAAGTGTGAGAGACTATTACACCAGAATGCCCATTTATTCATGCAGTACACACACACACACACACACACACACACACACACACACACACACACCCCTAGCCAGGACCTCACTAAGCGGCTCTCCATCTTGACTGATAAGCCCCACTAAGGAGACCAAATCTTAGATTAGAAGGTTACTTGGAGAACACAGAATTAGGGCAAAGGGAATTGACTTACCAAGTAATATTTCTAACAAGCTAAGGGAATCTGATGAATTACAACAAAGACCAAACATAACAGTTATTAAGGCCCTACTATATACAAGTTATACAATCCCTGCCCTTAAGGAAAAGAAACAGTTTTTATCCTCAAGGAGCTTATAGGAGGCTAGGAACTATGTAGTTTTAATACTCAATATTACTGACGTACATTAGAGAGTAACAACAAAAAAGTAATATGTGAGGTCTTAGGAGGAATTAACTGCAGGGTTCAGTAAAATCTCCTTGGAAAAGGTGAGGTTTGACTTGAGTTTTAAAGTAGGAGTAGGATTTTCACAGTAATTTCATAGGGAAGATGGCATTATAATTACAGGGAACAGTGTGAATAACAGAATGGAATACAGTCAATGTTCTAGGGGAAGAGAGTAGGCCAGTTTGGAGGGTACATGGAGGGTAGTATCTAAACCTGAAAAGGCAAGGTAGTACATTGAATTCTAAGCAGAGCAATTTGATGGGCACTAAATATGCATTCCTATTCTCCTGTACATAGCCTCTATGAGAGATATAATCTTTCTGCTTGGACTGGTCATTGCACAGTCTCTCTTCTTATTCTTAATTTCCATTTGTTTTGCATTTGTAATTGAAGATAATTTTTCATTGATTAGAGTTTGGCTATTTCCTAATGACATGTAGAGAAACCTCCATAAACTTGTTAGTAAACATTCTACAAATCACTGCAAAAAGGGTTTCTTCTTAGGTTTCCTGCAAAGAGTGAATAATGAATGATGCGTGGATTCTAATTGGCTTTTCTCACAAGAATGGTGTTACTTCTTGACCTTGCACCTTGTTCATGGGCTTCATCTTACTTTGGGGCTCATAATCCCTTGTCCAGTGAATATAGGGCCCCAAGAAAATTTTTATTCACCCCATTAAAAATCCTACAATTGATAGAAACTTAAAAAAACCAGGAAATAATGTAAGATGAGTACTGTCCACTCAAAACTTTTAGAACCATTAAGGAATTTTCAGGGCTGATTATTTATACTTCCTGCTTTCTGAGGGACTCAGACCCTTTTAAAATGATGAAAAGGCTTTAGAAATTCACTTACTTTCAGGACTAGGTAGCAAGGAACGTTTTGCTCTTGGCAGGATCTCTCATACCAGATGATCATAGATTTAGAGCTGGAAGAATCCTTGATGGTATCAAGTCTAACACCTTCATTTTGGAAGCCCCCAAAAGTCAAGTGATTATCCCAGGACAACACAATTACTGTCTAAAGTGAGATTTGAACCTAGGTCTTCCTAAAAACAAGTCCTGTGCTGTATACATTAAAACCAGTCTAATTTTCAGAGGCTAAAGGAGCAGCTAGGTGGTACAGTAGATAGACCACTGGCCTGGAGTTGGGAAGATCTGAGTTCAGATCCTACCTCTGACACTTACTAGCTGTGTGACCCTGGGCAACTGACTTACCCCTGTTCGTCCCAGTTTCCCATCTGTAAAATGGGAAGACTTGAGAGGCTCTGTGGGAACAGTAACTCGAGACCCAAAAATGATTATGTCATGGTCCAGCCCAGAATGTATATGACTTTAGGCCAGCGTGTTAAGCCCTCCTTCTTAGGAGGGGGGACTTCCATGTGCACACATCATTTTCCTCATTCCAAATACAAACTTCTGCTTGTGTCCTGACTCTGCTGTCTCTAGCCTGCTCTGTCTGGCTTCAGCCACCCACAGGTTAGAGGCCGGTTTTGGTCCAGTTGACAGGAACTTGGGCTAGGCCTCAAGGATTAGTAGGATTTAGATCAAGTCTTTTGGGAAAACAACTCCTCAAATCTTGCCTAGTAAAATTACAGGGCCAGCTACATGTCTAATGGTCAGGACAGGCAGACTACGTAGAAAGGAGCCCCAAAGGGCAACTGATTAGATAGATGGAAAACATGTATATGTATACACACACACACACACACTAGAGAGAAACAGATATAGAAATATATATATATATATACATGTATATATATATACACACACATATGTACAGGTAGATAGAAAAATAGACAGGTAGATAGATGATATAGCATAAAGGGGGGTGTGTGTGTATGTGTGCTTATACCACCATGAGGAGATAAATATAGCAAACAAATGTCCACCTTTTTCCTTCTCACCACCTGTCTCATCCTTGGTTAAGTTGGGAGTGGTGAATGGGCTGCCAAGTACTGGCACATAAGGTGCAAGCCTCTTTTCTTTCTCTCTCCCTTCCTCTTTCCCTCCCTCTCTCCCTCCACCTTTGCCCCCTTCTCCTTTCCTGTACTGCCCCTGCTTTCTCTTAATTTTTCTTTCTCACTCCCTTTATCCCTCTATCCTTCTTTCTTTCTCCCCACCCTTTCCCTTCATCTATCTCTTTCTTCCTCTTTCGGTTTCACTTACTTTTCTTTTTTTTTTTTTGATGAGGCAATTGAGGTTAAGTGACTTGCCCAGGGTCACACAGCTAGCGTTAACTATCTGAGGCTGAATTTGAACTCAGGTCCTCCTGACTCAAGACTCTAAGATGGGATCTCTATCCGCTGTGCCACCTAGCTGCCCTCCCTCTCCCCCTGTTTCACTTACTTTCCCACTCCTTCCTTCTCTCTTTCCTCTTCTTCTTTCCCTCTTTTCAGTCACTTTCTTTCATCTCTCCCCCTTTCTTGTCTGACTCCCCTTTTTCTATCCTTTTTTCCTCTCTCTCTGTCTTTTTTCTCCCTTGCTCTCCCCTCTTCCTCCTTCTTTTGCTTTACCTCTCTTTTCATCTTTGTCTTTTTTGTCTTTCTTACTTCCCCCTCCCTCTCTCTTCTTCCCTCCCTCTCCCCCTTCCTCCTCATTTCTCCTTACTCTCTCTTCATCTGTCTTTCTTCTTTCTTACTTTCTGACTCCCTTCCCCTTCCCTCTTCCTCCCTCCCTCTCCCCCTTCTTCCTTCTTTCTCCTTACTCTCTCCTTCATCTGTCTTTCTCTCTTCTTTCTTACTTTCTCACTTCCTTCCTCCTCCCTCTCTCTTCTTCCCTCCTCTCCCCCTTTCCTCCTCCTTTCTCCTTACTCTCTCTTCCTCTGTCTTTCTTCTTTCTTACTTTCTCACTCCCACTCCCTCCCCCTCCCCCTTCTCCTCCCCGCTCCCTCCCTCCCCACTTTCTCGGCCCCCACTTCTCTCCTCCCCACCCTCTCCCCCACCCTTCTCGCCCCGCCCCTTCCCTCCCAGGGCGGTTGACAGTAGGGGGCGGGAGATGAGTGTGGGCGCGGCGGGGCTCCTCGCCTCGTTCTCGAGCCGGGCTCGGGGGCTGGCTGCCGGGCTCCCCGCGGCGCCGGCGTAGGCGTGGGGGAGGGGGCAGCGCGCGCAGGACGCAGGGCCCAGGCGGTGGCGGCGCGGGAGGGTGCGCGGCGGCCTCATTTCCTCGCGCACACAGGAAGTGGCCGTTATTCCGGGAGGCGAGGCGGACAGGGCTAGGGGTGGTGCGAGGAGCGGGGTGGGGGGGGAGGAGGCGGAGGAAGTGGTTCCTCCGGCCCCGCGGCGGGGGCTCTGCAGCAGCCGCAGCCGCCGGCTCCGAGGCGGCCCCGCGCCCGCCCGCAGGCTCCGCCGCCCGGCCTCGGGGCATGTCCTCGCCCTCCTCGCGCTCCGCAGGCTGGGGTGAGTACCACGCTCCGCTCCCGCGGGCTGACAGCCGGCTCGCGGCTCTGCACACACGGACTAACTGCGGACTGGCCCCGGCAGCGCGGAGCCCAGGCTGGGGGTGTGCGTGCCCGGGCTCCGCCTCTGCCCTCTCTTCTCTTCCAGACTAACTTTATTGTATTATACTTTTGCATTGGAAAAGCATTCATTTTCTCCTTCCCTCCTCCGAAATGATTTATGCTGCGGAGTCATTTGGAAAGGGCTTGGGCTCCTCGGAGGAGGGCTGGGCTGGAGAGCAGCGGGGTTGCCAGCAGAGGAGCGGTTTTTGCTTGAGTGTTACCAAGTGTTTCTTTCCTATCGCTAGGCTTTCCTCCCCACACTCTCCCTTTGCCACACTTTTGCAGGTTACTTGGTGATAAACTGTTACTGCTACGAAAAACATTTTGCTTTTCATTGAATACAATGTTGTATTCTTTTCTAAACGACCCAAACCCAGAAACTATACCTGAACAGTTAGTTAAAAATAGCTTATTTCAGAGTTTGGAGGGTTCCTCCCTCAGTTTTTTTTTTAAGCGTTGAAGACATTTGTTTTAGTTAGCCGGGGGAGAGAAGAGAAAACTTCTGTGTGTGTAGGTCCAGAATTAAGTCCTACTCCGAAGTCTTAGCCCTTCTTGGCGTGGAGGACACCCAGGTTCTCCAAAGCAAGGCTGGTAAGTCCCAAGCCTCCTTCTGATTGGTGTAGAGGGGACCCTGGTTTCTTGGGAGACCGATAGTGGCTGATTGGTCCTTCTAAAGCTGGTTCGCTGTCCTGAGTGTAGCTCCTGGTTGATGGAATGTTTGTCTTTGGATGATCATCCTAGCAACGTCCTGGTTGATGAAATGTCTGCCTTTGGAAGATCATCTTAGCAATGTCGTTTACCGGTTCATCACTAGGTTTACTGCAGGATGGCCTCAGCAAGTATTGAAGCTCTTTCAGTAAATCTTTGAGAGGCTATGAATTGATGGAGGCAGTAGCATAGTAGATTGAGCCAGAGCTCCACTTAACATCTCTCTGCCAGAGTTTCCTTTTTCTTTAAAATGGGGATAATCCATTGTTTTGCCAAATCTTGTGTTTTCTTGTTCCACCTCATCACTTAATTCTTTCCCTTCCTCTCTAGGTTGTTGTGATAAACAAAGAGCTTTAAAAACCTTAAATTGTTAGTGTAAACGTTATTATTGTTGTTGTTGTTGTGTTACCTGTTCTAGAAAATCACAAATCCTTCTTGTGAAGTAAGCTGTTTAAATTTAGGTGACGATAGAGCATCTCATATTTGTGGTAAGATTAGGGATGTGGTAGGAATTGGAAGCCTGCTGTGGGTTTTTGTTTGTTTTTTTTGCTTAGTAATATCTTAAGCATCTGTATTTTAAAGTTTGATCTTATATTGATTATTACAGTCTAAATTTAAAAGAGTTGTGCAATGTGCATTTTAACTTTCTGAGAACTGTTACAGTGGCTGTGTCTTACTTCTTGTGTGCCAAGATGAATTTCATTTTCAGTCATGTTTTCTTTGTAGCACATTATTAAAACAATAGCTCAGAACGTGAAGAGGAAAGTTTATTTTTCTATATAAAGTAAAATGTGAAAGTGTTTATGATAATCTGTTAATCTCAGTCATTTATTTTGTACTTTATTTTAGTTCTGCTTAATTAAAATAGTGGACTGTGACTTGAAGGTCTTTGTGAGGGCTGCTTTCCACTATTTGTGGCTTAGGGAATGTTAACAATGATGAATAAATAAGTATGGTATCATTTCCTAATCCAGGCCTAGCTCAAAGTTGTGTAAAACTGCGATATCCAAACCTTGGATTTTATACCTCTATTAGTTAAAAAAAGAACTGAATTTGCATATATTGAGTATATGTGTGTGTGTGTGTGTGTGTGTGTGTGCGTGCGCGCGCATGCACACATGTAATATTTTCACGGTTGAGTAATTTTTCAGTCATGTCTGGCTCTTTATAAACCTGTTTGAGATTTTCTTGGTAGAGATACTGGAGTGGTTTGCCATTTCCTTCTCCAGCTCATTGTACAGATAAGGAAACTGAGGCAAACAGGTTTAAGTGACTTGTCCAGGTTCACGTAGCTAGTGTCTGAGGCTGGATTTGAACTCAGGAAGATGAGTCTTTCCAACTTCAGGCCCAGCACTCTGTCCACTGTGCTCCCTAGCTGTTCCATATGTATACATACACACACACACACACACACACACACACACACACAACACACACATATATATATACACATACACACACACACACACACACACACATATATAACATACAGCTATTAGGGCATTATTGCAATAATCCAGGTGTGAGGTGATGAGGGCTTGAACTGATGTGATGGCTATGTGTAGGGAGGAAGAGATGTGGAAGTAGAAACGACAAGATTTGGCAACTGAATGGATATTTGGGGTGAGAGAGAGTGAGGAGTTGAAGATAATTCTGATATTACAAACCTGGATGAAAGAAAGGATGGTGGTGTCCTTGACAGAAATGGGAAAGTTTGGAAGAGGATTGGAATTGTGGGGAAAGAGAACTACTGAAGTCTGAGATGTAGATCACAACCTGGCCATGCCTTTTCATCCTATGAAACTCTGGCTAACACACCTTAAACATAAAGGGGGAAAGATAGGGCTCTTGTCAGTCAGTGCCCAGAACTCAGAGCTTGTCCTCTAAGAAGCAGTGAATTCATCACAGCTGCTATATAGTGATCTGGAGGAAGGAGAATGAGGATGGGTGGGTGATGGTTTTCCAGTGATCCTTGTGGAGCTGGTGTTGTGGGTGCCTGGGCAGTGATTAGGTTATAGCTGTCCTGAGGGGCAGAATCCCTGCTTAGAAGAGGGAGAGGAGGTTGGAAAGAGTTTACACAGTGAAGGGCAGGAGCAGAATTTTAAGTGTTCAGGGACAAGAGCAAGTGTACTTGGGTTTGAGTTAAACACCTATGTTGACTATGATAGGGAGGATGGAATGTATAACCCATCTTGGTACCCTCCTTCATTCAGGCCACAATTCCCTTGGGGCCTGGTCCCCACTTTAGAGACAATTGGTCTCTAAAGGGAAAGGGAGCAAGCATTTATTAAATGTCCACTATGTTCCAGGCACTATCTTAAGCACTTTACAAATATAGTTTCATTTGATCTTCACAGCAATCTTGGAAGGAAGATGCTATTATTATTCCTATTTTGCAGTTGAGGAAACTGAGGCAGACAGAACTTAAGTGACTTATTGCGGGTTTCATAGCTAGTATGTTTCAAATGTCAGATTTGAACTTAGCTCTTCCTGACTCCAGGCACAGCCTTTGCCCACTAAATTGGGATATGTCTTGTCTTTTTTTCTTCCTTCCTTTCTTCCTTCCTTTCTTCCTTTCTTTCTTTCTTTCTTTCTTTCTTTCTTTCTTTCTTTCTTTCTTTCTTTCTTTCTTTCTTTCTTTCTTTCTTTCTTTCTTTCTTTCTTCCTTCCTTCCTTCCTTCCTTCCTTCCTTCCTTTCTTTCTTTCTTTCTCTTTCTTTTTCTTTCTTTCTTTCTTTCTTCTTTCTTCTTCTTTCTTTCTTTCTTTTTTCTTTCTTCTTTTCTTTCTTTCTTTCTTTCTTTTCTTTCTTTCTTTTTTTTTTTTTTTTTCTTTCTTTCTTTCTTCCTTCCTTTCTTGTTCCTTCCTTCTTTCTTCTTTTTCTTCTTCCCTTTCTTTCCTTCCTTCATTTTTTTTTTGGGGGTAGAGATTGAGATTGGTAATGGAGACAATATTTGTGATTAAACTGAACCAAGAAAAAGAGGGGAAAGTTTTAATGTGTGGTAGTAATTGTTAAGGATTGTAATATTAGGAATGGGTGGAGTAACCTAACTGGTATTCATCAAGATTGGATAGGTTAAACTTCCCAAATTATTTCAGCCAACTGGATTTCAGCATACAAGCAGTTGCTTAATATTTTGTCAAAAATGAATTGACTAGGGACAGCTAGGTGGTGCAGTGGATAGAGTGCCAGCCCTGGAGTCAGGAGGACCTGAGTTCACATGTGACCTCAAGACACATGATACTCACTAGTTGTGTGACCCTGGGTAAGTTACTTAACCCCAGTTGCCTTGCAAAAAAAAAAATTAGTTGACTGGTGATCTTGGTCTAGTGCAGGAGTGGGAAACCTGTGGCCTTCTAGGTCCTGGAGTGCAGCTTTTTGACTGAGTCCGAGTTTTACAGAACATATCCTTTTACTAGAGGGATTTGATCTGTAAAGTTTGGATTCAGTCAAAGGACCACACTTCAGGACCTAACAGGCCACATGTGTCCTCAAGGCCACAGGTTCCCCACCCCTGGTCTAGTGCCTTGTTAACCCTGCATTAATTATAAAAGTATCACTATGGCTGGCTGGCAGATATTAGTAGAAATTAAGCAATGACTTTCTGTGATGATGCAGTGAGAGACTGCAGAGGAGCCAGGATCTTCATTCCCCTCTCAAAAATAACAAACATAGAAGAGACAAACAGCAGCCAAAAATAAACATAAGAATATTAAAGATTCATGTTTTTAACTCATTTCAGTTGTGTCTGGTTCTTCGTGCCCCCACTTGAGCTTTTCTTGGCAAAGATACTGAAGTAGTTTGCCATTTCTTTCTCCAGCTTATTTTATGATGAGGAAACTGAGGCAAATGGGGTTAAGTGACTTGCTCAGGGTCACATAGCTAGTGTCTGAGGTTGGATTTGAACTTAGGTCTTTCTGACTCCAGGCCTGGCTGTTCTGCCCATTGGGCAACCTAGCTGCCTGTTAAAACCTACTGAAAAAGAAAATAAGGCAAAGAAAAGGTCAGATACAATAAAACATAAATCCTATGGAACATGTGAAACCTAGGCCAAAGCACATGCAAAGAAAAATGGTGTAAGGTATCTTGAGATGTCCTGAAGTAGGTGAATGACACATTAAAAAATTAAGGTTAATTAACACTGATGGAAATATCCTAAGAGGAAATAAAAGATGAACTTAAAATTATTAGGAAAAATTAAATATCCAGGATTGAAAGATATTAAGAAATATTAGAAAGAAATAATAGGGAAAATGACAAATATGAAGATTATAATATTAGACCTGAAAATATAAAAAAATCAATAGGAGAGTTATTGAGCAAGTGAAAAAACAAGATTAGAAAATAACACATAGAGAGTTTAAAACCACCTGCAACCAAAAGATAGATCTGGAGGAGAGACCAATATATAGCAAATATAGTATTAGTATTATTTCAGAATATTTAGAAGGATCTGGGTGCTCTGTTAGGATAAATTATTCAAGAAGGCTTACCAAAACTTTTTTTTAAAAAAGCAAACAGTTTACAAGTAGGAAAAAAAAAAAACAAAAAAAACCCAAAAAACTTACAGACTTGCTAACATTTTTATTTTGGGTTTAAAAATATATTATATAAATTCTTTTTTTATTATTATGAGATCTGTAAAAGATTTCAGGAATTTACAGATTAGGAAACTCAGCATCAGAGAAGTTAAGTGACTTGTTCATGGTCACAAGTGTAAGATTCTGGATTTGAATGTATGTCTTCCTCATTCCAAGTTCAGCACTCTTTCCATTATATCAGGCCTGCACAACTTGCAGCCTGCAGGTGCTTATGGAGGGCTGCTTGTAGCACACCAAAGAATTTCTGGTGGGCCTGTGAAAAATGCAGAGGAAAACATCCTTTATACGTAGAGGAAATCCTTTGGCATGCTGCAAGGTGCCTGAGGGCCGCCGTAAGTAAGCTGCCCTAAGACAACAGGTTGTGCAGGCGTGTATTATAGCATACAAGTATTATAACTGTACAACTATTGTAAATTCAAGGTATTCAACAACAGTTAAGCAGGCATTTAGTAAGCTCCTGTTAGATAAGATAAGTTTAGATAAGATACAGGTGCTGGCCTCATTGCTCCTATGGTGTGGTAGAGGGATGACCCACTTCCATAGATGTGAACATTTCTTACACTAGTTCAGGTCGTAACCTGGTCATGCCTTTTTGCCCAGGTTATTACATACATCCTTCATTTGCAACTTATAGTATCTCTTGAATATCAATGCAGCATTCAGAGTGTTCTGTTATCCTTCACTCTAGCAAAAAGACCAAGCTATATCCTTTTTTAAAAAAATCATGTGTCCTTTGTCTTTTATTCAACTTTTAATTCACTAAGTCATTGTTGGAAATCTGTTGTGATAGTTACAGCCTCTGTTTTTCCCATTCTCTTTGAGTTATCTAAAATTTTCGTTCTAAGATTCTGGCATTCTATGATTCTCAGTCACATAGCATCGCTGGAACAATATTGCTTTTTTTAACGTGTGGGCTTTTGTGGCAGGGGATAGGTTGGGGTCTTAGACAATGCTATACAATTTCCTAAGTGTAGTGCACTTCATCATCTTCCTATTCAGTTGAGAACCCAGCTCGTCATGCATCTTCAGTGGTTGTCCAGGATGTGTTTGCTGGTTGGATTAACTCAATGAGCGACCATGTTATAATCCAAACAATAGCTCATTTTCCTCTGTGTGATTTTTCCTGTGTGTCTTCCTAGTCCAGTCTCTTTTTTTAGTGGTCATTGATCTAATTGAGACCTAACTGACCTAATATATACTTCAAATTGCTAATAAAAAGAGAAGTAAAAATCAAAACAACTGAGTTTTCACTTCACAATCAGCAAATTGGCAAATGTGACACATAATGAGAATAGTCTGCATTGGAAAGACTGATAGAGTTTGATAGACACACAAACACACTGGTGGAGCTGTAAATTGGCCCAGCCATTTTGGAAAGCAATCTGGATTAATAATAAGAAAATGAGTAAACTGACGTATGACTCAGAGATTCTTACATCTAGGTATATGTGCAGAGGAAGTAAAAGAGAAAAAAATGGTCCCATGAGGTACTCATTATTCATAGCAGCCCTTTATGTTCCAGTAACAGAGAATCAGGAAAAAAGTAAAGATCCTTCATTGGGAATGGCTAACCAAATTGTAGTACAGCAATATAATGGACTATTGCTCTACAGTAAGAATGAGAGAGATGCAGCATTCCTAGATGGAAAGTAAGAACCAAGAAAACATGTGGACTGACTACACTATAAAATATTGTACACAATAGGGAAACTAAGCAGCGGTGGAAATGAAAAGAACCAAAAACAGTATGCAGATACATGATGACTTCAGCAGTACATGTGGGACAAACCCAAACACAAAAAACCAAAACCCTGTAGTTATGATGGCCAAACTTGGCCCTGAAGAAGAGTTTTAAAAGAATGCACATCCTCCTTGTAGAACTGGGGGACTGTTTGTGTAGAACATTGTATAATACTGTGAGAGTTGATGAGTTTTGCTAAGCTACTTTTTTTTCTTTTTGCATTTTTTGCACTTTTTGGGTGGAAAATATATCGGGATGTATTTGGAAGTGAAGGTGATAGAAAAACCAAATGTAAAAAAAGAGAAAGAAAATATGTTTTAAAAACTTTTTTAAGAGGACACAAGCAAAAGTCTTACAATATTCAAGGACAGTGGTTCCCAGCGTGTTTTGTCCTTGAACCTTGTTCAACAACAACAAAAAAGTGTGTGAACTCCCCAGAGTAATTGAATATTGTACTCATGATATTTTTTTTAGGTTCGTTCATTAAGTGCTTACAATAACTACAGTGATCGCCTTTGTTAAATACTGCTCCAAATTAAAATTTGTATTCCATAATTATAGTTACTAAATATAAAACTTACCCAGTTGATGAAAATGAATATGCAATTATGATTTTAAATGTTTACTTTTCTATTGTCTAATTACAAGTGCTGCGTTAAATGTTGAATATGTGTAAAATTCAGTTGCATTTATTGCTTCATTTTTAATATTTATATAAAAACTAATCTTCATAAGGAAAGAATTTCTTCTGATATGACTGTCTTCCCTTTTACCATTGAAAATCAGCTACCTTCTCACAGATACTCTACTGACCTGTATTGTAAAATGTTTATTTGAAAATTTGCTAGTTGAAAGAATAGTAACATAAACAGAGGTTAAGTTTAAATCAGAAAACAGACTTAATTTTGCAATGAGAAGCAACATGTTTTTTTTTTCCTTGCAGAACATTTGTGGTGGTCCACAATGGTTTCAAGATGGCCTGTAATGAGCATGCCCAGAAATTCTGATTTTCAAACAGCATGATATTTGCTTTGAAAGACTACACATATTCTTAACATCTTGATCACTTGATTACACAGATGATGAGGTATGATTACAGGGTAACAGAGGAGAATGAGGGAGCTACTCCAGTGTAGATTACATACTGCAAATGACGATATGTGAATGTGTCTGACAATCCATTGGGAATCAGTTGGCACTCAAATGTTGAACCCTGGTGGCAGTTTGGAAACAATTTGATGACAGGATGAGAAACTGCAAGAACGTGTTTAGTCAGAAGTGGTCAAGATTTGATATAATTGCTTCATAGACACTAAAATTGTGCATCAGATCAGCATAAGTTTGAATCAGTGCAGGAAGAAACTTATGATACTTTCAAACACATACTTGCTTGTTGTCACAGAGGAGAAGTGTATTTGTTTATCTAACTTAATTGATTCTCATGCTAAGCTTTCTACAGGCTCATTTTCCCTTCCACAGATGTGTGTGGGATGTGTGTGTGTGTGTGTGTGTGTGTTTTAGTGAGGTAATATTTCTTCTGTTATTCTCTGAAATATTTCGTAAATGACCTTGTATTCTAGGCCTATATTGCCCTTGGAAGGATGGAAATTCAATTAAAAAAAGATTTTTTAAAAGCATTTGATAAAACTAGACATGAACAAATTATTTGCTTCTTAATCACCCCAGATAAAAGAAATAGAAGAAGTATATTAATCTCAAAGGCAGGCTAAGTAGAAACAATTTAAAGATTATCGGTCTCCTAGAAGAATGTGACAAGTAAAAAAAAACCTGATCACCATAATGCAAAAAATAGTACAAGAAAATTGTTGAGAACTTTTGAACACAAAACAAAGTGTAAATAGGAAAAATCCACAGATAACCTTTAGAAACAAACCCTGTGCCGCAAACTCCAAGCTACATAGTGGTTAAATTTAACTATTCCAATGACAACAAATTCTATAAACAACCAGAAGAAAGACCTTCAAATAGAAAGGAAAAGAAAATCTAAATGACAGTACTATTTTGCAACCACAGGAAACCACAGGAGAGAATGGAATAATATGTTCTAATGAATAAAGGAAATTAAGATGTAGCCCAACTTACAAACTTGAGCCTAACTGTTAACTAAAAAAGATGGAAATTCAAAAAAAAAAATAAGGCACTTGATAAAACTAGACCTGAACAACAACAACAACAAAAAAATAGAGACAAATTGTGAAGATAATGAAGGAAAGAAATTTTTTTGAAAAAGGCACAGAAAGTAAAATTTAAAAACTAACAAAATGAGTGAGAGGGGGATTCTACCTAACTACTTAATTGGGACAAAAAAGAGAGAAAGAATTAACTAGATAAAAGCAAGAAAGAAAAAGGAACTAAGGAGCAAAACTTCAAAAACAGGGAAAGTTAGTTTTGTAATCTTGTATTGAGGTACAAGAAGACACTTGCAATAGCATGGTAGTGACAGGAGATTTCAATACCACTCTCTCAGATGTATCTGATAGATAAAAGAGAACTTATAGAACTGAACAAATCCTACAGAACAAGAGCTAAAAGACTTCTGGTGGCTTTTAAGTGAGACTACTGAAGAATACACATATTTCTCAGCATAATATTGAATGTTTACAAACATTTATTAGGGCACAGAGAAATTGCAAACAAAATAAGCATAAAAGAGGAGATATTAAATAGAAAAGAAATAGATAAATTGGAAATTAAAAACCTGTAGAAATAAACTAAAAGCTGAGTTCTTTGAAAAGACTTCTCAAGTGGTTAAACCTTTGAGCAATATGATTAAAGAGATTATGACAAAAAAAACAAATGAATGGGGGCAGCTAGGTGGCGTAGTGGATGGAGCACCGGCCCTGGATTCAGGAGGACCTGAGTTCAAATCTAGCCTCAGACACATAACACTTACTAGCTGTGTGACCCTGGGCAAGTCACTTAACCCCATTGCCTAGCAATACAAACAAACAAACAAAAAACCCAAATGAATGAAATAACAAATGAGCAAGGTAAAGTTACAACAAAACCAAAACAAATATAAAGAATAATCAGATGCTAATATGCAGTTATATGCCAATAAAACTGAAAACACAAAAGAAATGGAGGAATATCTTCAAAAATATAAAATACAGAATAACAGAAGGCCAAATAGAGATTTTATTTCATTCTCAGAAAAGAAAATAGAGCTACCCCCCAAAAAAAATCTTGTCTTAATAGATTTATATTCTATCAGACCTTTAAACACAGTTAATACCCATGCTACACAAATATCCTTAAAAATTGAGACAGCCCTATGCCAGAATGATTTTATGAGACAAATATAGTCCTACTAATACAAGGAAAAGATAAAACACAGGAGAATTATTGATCAATATCATTAATGAACATTTATCCAAATGTTTTCAATAAAACAGCATCAAACAAACTATAGTGATTTGTCCAAGAAATCATTTTGACTAAGCTGGGTTAAAAAATACTCTGTAAAAAAATGAAGAATAACTTAAATAGATAGAGGAATATTCAGTGCTTATACTAATATAATAAAAATTATGATATTACTAAAGTTAACTTATGGTTTTTAATACTATTCCAAACAAATTATCAAAAGGATATTTTATAGAACTTGATAAAATAAGAACAGATTTCACTTGGAGAAATGAAAGATCTAGAATATCAAGGGAAGTAATAAAAAGAGGTAGGGACAAAGGGGAGTAGCACTTCCAGATCTCAGACTTTATTATGAGGGAATAGTCATCAAAATCATCTGTTACTGGTTAAAAAAAATAGAGAGCTAGACCTATGGAATAACACTAGACAAAGAGAATCAGTAAAATACTGGGGAAACTGGAAAGTTGTCTGGCAGAAATTAAGGTTAGATCTAATACTTTATGCCATGTGCCATGATATGTTGTAGATGGTATGTGGCTTTAGTATTTAAAAAAATCATGTTATAAAATAATTAGAAGAGAAGCATATCATATACACAGCTATGAGGAGATGTGGTCTTTTTTTTTTTTTAAGGCAATTGGGTTTAAGTGACTTGCCCAGGGTCACATAGCTAATAAATGTCAGATGTTTGGTCTGAAGCTGGATTTGAATTCAGGTCCTCCTGACTTCAGGGCCTGTGCTCTATGCTCTGCACCACCTTGCTGCCCCTAGGAGATGTATCCTTAACCCAACAAGGGGTAGAGGCAATTATAAAAGATAATATAGATATCTCCAATACCTATGCATGAAAATAAAAAGCTTCTAAACAAATAAAATTAATGCACCTTGGTTGGAAAGTTGAATGGGTAAAAACCTTTGTATAAAATTTCTCTGATAAGGATTCGGGTGTATCTAAGACATACATATAATTAACAAAATTGTCATCATCATATTGTTAGAGATTTGGAACATTATTTCATATAGTTGTTAAGAGTTTGCACTTGGTTGATTAGAATTATGCAAATGAAATAACTAAAATATTCATATCCTTTGACCCAGAGATTCTGTTACTAGGCACATACCCTAAAGAGATCATTGATAAGAAAGTCTCCATATACACCCAAATATTTTTACCAGCACTTTTTGTGATAGCAAAGTATTGACATCTACTTTGTTTTCAATCAGTTGGGAAGTAGCTAAACAAATTGTGGTGCATGAATGAAATGGAGTATTAATTATGTTGTAAGAAATCATGAGATGAGTATGGAGAAGCCAGGAAAATTACACATGAATTGTTGCAGAGTAAAGTAAGTAGAGCTAAGAAAATCCTCTACATAATGACAAAGGAAAGAATAACCACCAAAAAATATCAGAAGTTAATGTTACAAAATTATTTTTTGCCTTTTATTTTCTTTTAGGTGAGCAGTTGGGGTTAAGTGACTTGCCCAGGGTCACACAGCTAGTAAGTGTCAATTGTCTGAGGCCAGATTTGAACTCAGGTCCTCCTGACTCCAAGGCCGGAGCTCTATCCAGTGTGCCAGCTAGCTGCCCCTGTTTTTTTTTTAAATTTTTTTTGTTACAAAATTATAAAAACCAAACATGACTCAAAAAGATATGAGAAGACATCTACCCTCATCCCTTGGAAGAGGTGGGAGGACACACAGATATTGTACATTGTACATGTTTTCAGACTTTTTCCTTTTATTGATCAGTTATGCTGATTTTTTTCCTCTTCATTTACATTCTTCCTTTTTGTCTGTTAAAAGTATTACTTGTAACAAGAAATGGCTCTCGGAGAGAAGGAAGAAGAGAGATATGGTGGGAAATTGTGGTGACGTAAAGAAAACAAAAGACATTAATGGAGAGCTATTTTACAAAACAAAGAAAAGGGAATAGGGTTAATGTAGTATGCTTATCCATTTCCCATTTTTCTGCATCTTTGAATTTGAATTGGAGCTCTTTTAACTAACTACATGTAGTGTTGTCTTTTCTTCTTTCTTCTTTTTTCTAATTTGGTATTGATTGTTACTGTACACAGAAAACTTAATTCTGAATTGACTGTCATATCTGTAAGCAGTCATTTCTTATCTCTTATTCTAGAAAGTCATTTTTGTTTTCAAAATGTTTTGGAGTCCTTGGCATGTTCAGCATTCTCCTTGAAAGAAGTATTCATGATACATAGGCATAAAGTTTTTGAGTGCTTCCAGGATAAGCCTTTGAACCTTTCATTTCTTAATCCCTAAGCATTTTTTTTCCAGCATACTTTCTATTTTCTCCTTTGTTAGCACCCTTTTGTATGTCTTTCCCCTTTAGATTTGAAGTTCCTTGAAGGCGAGGATTGTCTTTCTTACTTGTTTCCCCAGTGATTGGCACATAGTAGGTACTTAATAAATGTTTATTGAATTAAATTGAATTGTCTACATTCAGACTGACACTGCCAAACAGCAAGGCTTATGTTGATTTAGTTGTAGGATTTTATCATATTTTTCCAAGAATTTCTCAGCATCATCCTTTGTAGAAGATATTGATACGTAAGCACTTGCCACTTGGAATGACTCTTACGCCTAGATTGTACTCTTCATTCATGGTTCAGTTTAAATGCCATGTCCTTTATGAAACGGTCACTGACCATTCATGTTCATTCACAGTGATCTCTTT